CAGCCACCCAGCAGAGGAGTCAAGAGCATGGAAAATGTCTCTTTCAGCCAATTTTCCTGAGGAACCCTGGCTGGGGCTCAGGGCTGGGAACGGAAAGTGTGCAGGGAGGAGGCACAGCCGCATCCATCCGGAGAAACTTTGCAAAGTCCTGCTGGGAGAAGCTAGGGGGAGGGAACTCCTGGGACAGTGGGTGGGGGAGGGGAAGGAGCAGATCTGGGAGGATGAGGGTCTGGCATCTGTTCAGGGCAGTCTCCTGGAAGAGGAGGAGCAGGCATCTCCTAAGCTCCCTGCTTCCTCCTTGGGCTCCCGGACTCCACCAGCTCCTGCTGTGCCCTGCCCATTTGTCTGGCCACCAGCCACTCCTAGAATGGAGATACTGGCAAACCCGACTATCTGGGGGTGTGTACAGCTCACTCTGGTAGGGTGCAGATTGATTCTACCCTCAGCAATCTTGACCAGGCTGAGTTTGAGAGCCATCGGCCACACCAGATGCTTCCTGATCTCTATGGCATCAGTGCGGCCCCTCTGCCCAGAAAATCTGTCCTTGCTGCTCGTAGTGCCTATAATTGCACCATTATAGATACAGCTAAGCCTGGTGTTCAGTCTGCAAGGATGCACCCAAACCAGTTGCTAAAACATTTAAATACATTCGTACTAGTTGTTAATAACCCCTAACCCAAGTACCCCCATACAGGCAAAATGGACACTCCAGACTTCCTGCTGTGACCCTCCAGGCTTCCCCAATTTAACAGCACTAAAAGGGCACCCAGGACTCTGAGGGTCATAAGTTAGTGACAGTCATAACAGCTGTTAATACTTTTCATATCACTCCGGGAAGCAACCCTTTGGTTTACAATTTTGTCTACTGTTTAAAGGCAAACAGTATGATAGAAATTTAGAGGTGAAGGGGCCCTGTGCAATCTCTTCATTTTCCAGGTGAGGAAACTAAGGACCAGAGAGAAGCAGAAACTTGCCCAAGGTGACACAGCCTAGCACTATCACTTCCCTTGGCTGTCAATTTATCTGGCCCCTCCACACACTGAACTTGAGCAGGTGATGGGGAAGAATCTGCCTCAAGATGAAACTGACAGCCAATCACTTGGCTCTTGTGCCTGGTCACTGTAGTCATGGCAACAGTCTCCTTGGTCACTATCACCACAGAGATAGTTGCCATGGCAACCGCCATTCAGGGCACCAATTTTCTGACACCCAAGAGCCTTTAGATAAACCCAGAAGTAAGCCTGTTTCGCAGCACTGACCCAGGTCAGAGCTCTGAGTAGGACAGAGACCTGCCCAACATCGGCAAGTTGACAGTGAAACCAAACTTCCCAAGTTCCCCGCCCAAGGCTCTCACAGCAGTCCCTCCCATTTTGCAGCTGACATCCCCCCACCCCGTTCCCATTTTTCTGTCTGCCTTGGTGCTTCCCACATTCCTCCAGCCCTCAGTCAGGATCTCCTTCCCACGGCATCTCACCCTTGGCTGCCGGTCAGCCAGCTCATCCTCCTGGGAACAGGCTGACATGAGCTTAGCATAGGACTCATCACAGGGGTTTACAACATTAGCTGAGACACCCTGGAGACCAAAAAGCCTTCAACGCCTTTACCCTCCCCAAAGGAAATGATCTCCAATGGTGGAATTTCAGGCACCAAGCTCAGACATGAGCAGCTCTTTTTGGGTGGTCAGGCCCCATCCACTGTGTAACACCAAACAGCTGCTGCCCACTGTGGCAAGAGCACTGGGCTGAGAGGCCAGAGGCCTGGATTCTAGCCCCACTTCACATCCAGACCCCCTGTTTTGCTTTTATCAAGTCCTTTCTCCTCTCTTGGACTTGGTATCACCACGGCTTAGATGAGGATGAGGATACTGGTCCACAATCACCTCCATCATAGGACCGCTGGACACCAACACCCAATCTAGTATGTTAGTGTTACTAAGCAAGGGATGGCCGTGGTTGAAAGGACTGGACTACCCTGCTGGGATCTCCTTTTAGAAAAATGGAATCTCAGGATTGGAAAGATATTCCAGGCACAGGATGATCTTGAGCAAAGCAGGGAGGCTGAAGAGAATCTAGGGAAACTCATGAGTGTTAGTTTGTTGATGTGCAGGGATGAAAAGAAAGGCCAGAAGGAGAAGCCAGAGGTGACTGAAAGGGATCAGTCACCAGTTCCAGGGGTGAGACATTGCCTCATGGGTCTTGGCTCAGAGTCTCCTGTCCAAATCTGATCTGTATAATTCGGACACTGGGAGGGTACCTGTGTAGGATGAGAGACTGGTCTGGGGGCAAAAGAGAACAAGGTTTTACACTCCAGAAAATCATTCGCTCGTGCTTTCACTCAACAAATATTTATTAAACACAACCTGAGCTGTGTGACCTTGGGCAAACAATTTAGCCTCTCTGTGCCTCAGATTCCTCAAGTGTAAAATAAGGACAATGAAGATGCCTGCCCCACGGGTGGTGAAGGGATCGAGTGAGTTAGTAGATACATGAAACTTTTTTTGAGACAAAAAAGTCTTACTGTCACCTAGGCTAGAGTGCTGTGGCATCAGCCTAGCTCACAGCAACCTCAAACTCCTGGATTTGAGCGACCCTCCTGCCTCAGCATCCCAACTAGGGGGGACGCCTTACTGAAACTAGAGGCACCCACCACAATGCCCAGCTAGTTTTTCTACCTTTAGTAGAGACAGGGTCTCACTCTTGCTCAGGCTGGCTCAAGCTCCTGGGCTCAAGCGATCCTCCAACCTCGGCCTCCAAAAGTGCTAGGATTCCAGGCACGACCCACCTTGCCCAGCCCATACATGTAAATTTTAAGCACAGTACATGGGAAGAAATTCAGGAACCCAAAAATGTGTGTTATAATTATTATCGTGGTTATTGAACACCTATCACGTGTCTGGCATCTTCTGGACAGTAGATGCACAACGTGGACACAGCTTGTGTCATTCCTGCCCTCAAAGAGCTCACAGTCTAAAGAGGAAAGCAAACCAAAAAAGAAAACTTCATAAAAACAGAAATAACAAAAACAATTATAAACAGTGACATGAGCTACAAATCACAAATTTATGTCTAGTGCATCAGATATAAAGCTCAACCCTCAAACCCAGGTGTGCAAGACATACCCATTTTTTTTATTTTCTCAAAAACCAAGTTAAATTCTACTCCAACTGCCCTGCCCCTAGCCTTCTGGGCTAGAGGAAATTCAATCCCATCCTTACTGAAAGTTACTCCTTGCCAGGGGGCAAGAAGGGAAGCCAGAGGGTTCTCCCTGGCACTAGACCAGGAGAGGCCTTTGACTACAGTGCCCAAGGCATAAATGACCCCTGAAGTCCAGCAGCCACTGCTTCCTAGCCAAATGAGGGGCCTGGGAGTCTTGCTAGGGTCTTGGGTCACCATGCCTGGGTCCAGCCTCCCAAGGCATGGCATTTGTCCATCCCCACTATCTGACCACCTCTTGGGGTAGAAGAGCTACCTGATCTGTGACCACTAAACTTCCTTCCCTTCACATCTATGAAAGCTTCTTTCTGTCCTCCTGTTTCTGGCCTCAACTGCAGTGAACACTCTCTCTATACCAAGGATTTACAAACTCCAAGTCCCAGGGCCCAAAGAGGTAACCAAACAAAAGTATAAGATTGGCTCAGCACCCGTAGTACAGTGATTACCGCGCCAGCCACAGACAAGAAGGCTAGCGGGTTCGAAACCAGCCCAGACCTGCTAAACAATGCCAACTGCAACAAAAAATAGCCAGGATGTTGTGGTGGGCACCTGCAGTCCCAGCTACTTGGGAGGCTGAGGCAAGAGAATCACTTAAGCCCAAGAGTTTGAGGTTGCTGTGACGCCATGGCA